GAGACTATTAGTGTCATACAGTTGGATCCATGTAAAGTAGGAAGGCCTTTGCTGAAAAATGATCCAAGCTGCATGTGACTGAGCTGAAGCCATAAAGCTGCCCACTCCATCACGGCCGAGACTGCCGAGATTGATCAACCCGCTCCCATTTGAGTGATTTCCCCCCGGATTCAATGCAACGCAATTAGTCGGAAGCCGTATTTTGCCTTTGCGTTGCTCTTTGACCCTCCATAGCACGTATGAGTCAGTGCAGCACTCTGCCGATATGAGTTCCTCCTAACAGCTCCTGTATTTGCACAGCCCATCTCCTCTTGGCCTCTCAACACTGTCCCTCCCAGCACTGCTAAAGAGGATCACGGATGGCTGGCGAGCGGCCAAGTCGTTGTACCTGCTGAGATGGAATATAGCCTTGATCATCTACACTGGGGTTAGCACCAGTGAAAGTCTCTGTCTCTCTCTTTGAATACTGTGCGCTGGGAGTTTCTGTCAGACTGGCAGCCTCAGCAGTGGGCATTGCCACAAGGCCTTCCTGACCTCTTTGGCTCCTGACGCTGACTGTAAAAACAAAAACTCCGCTCCAAAAGTGATCTCCTTAAGTAAGGGTTTCCAATCCAATTTTACACAAGGAGAGTGCTTAAGATTAGAGATAGTGTTTTTTATTGTGCTCTTCAGTAATAGGAGTAGAAAGGGTGAAAGGAGAGATGGAGGGAAGGAGGGAAAGAGGCCTGGAAAGGATGGGAGATCGATAAAGCCTGCTCTCTCTGGTTGCCTTTATTCTTCGTTGTCGTGTCCGTGGAGACGAGGTTTGGGCGGCTCATGGCAGCAGGCCATGTAAGGGGGGCATTAAAGTGCCGCAAAGGGACCTGCTCTTTTCCCATAAACAGGCCTGCAGGTAGAGAAACACTCGCCAGGATCCCAATATAACAACAACTCGTAGCACTCGTTCGCAGCCATAATGAACAGCAATCTCTTTCAGTGGAATGAGATGTGCTGTGTACCTGACTGGTTTGTCATGAAGGGCTTTTCATTAGGCTCCATGGATTATCTTGACGATGGCGATTCAGCCTGAGCGAAAAGGGCGCGTGGTCGCACTGGGACGAGCACAACTCTCCTGATTTGCATGGCCCTTTTTTCCTCTCCCAGTTCATTTCCAGTTGAATAACTCGTTTGTCACATACATCAGAGGAAGGCGAAGATCATACGAGAGCTAGTGTTACTTTGTGTTTCACTAATGAGGCCTGTACTCTCCGCCTCCTTGCTTTTGCCTTGCTGCCCTTTGAAACAGCAACGACATGGTGCTACAACACTCTAGTAGTTTTCTTTCTCCAAAACCGAGCTCCAGGCTGTTATCCTGTTTGTGTGTCACTTGGCTCCGTCTCAGTCTTTTGCACTTGTTTAAGGCTCAAATGGCAACAGACCTGACACAGATACACTGGCCTGTGCGCCCTGTGAGTGTAACGATTCAGATTCTGACCCGAGTGCACAGGGACACTCGAAGGCAGATGATGATTTAACAAGTTTTGTAGAACATGGCATGACAAATGCAGAACTGAGGCATGAAGAAGAAACAGACTAGTGACCGGTACTGTTAGTGAGGACAGTGAACTACATCACAGCTTTCCCTAAACTAACGAACTGTCAAATAAATATCTGAGTATACTGCAAACAAGCTAAAACCAGAGGCTCTCTTGCAGGAATGGCAGGCAGAATAAAGAACCCCACAAAATACATTCTTAAGGCTCACGACCAGACAAGGATACACAGAAAACTAAAAATGTAGTCAACTAATTTTAAGTGTCATTCTGGTTTAGTCAATAGACATTACATGGAACACAAAGGAAGCTGGTTATTCAGCTCCATGTATGCATGATTCCAACATTTTCCAGGTTTTTGACTGTTTTGTTCCCACTGAGTTATCTCTGCAGTTTAGGGGAAACCCAATCTGGTCCACTGGGAGATTACCACCCGGCTACAATATCTGATAATTAGTAATGTAAGACAAGAGCAAAAACACTGTTTATCTTCAGACTTACATCTTCATTTCAGCACGTAGATCATAATTATTTGTTTTATTGATCAACTAATACCGCAGCTTGAATCGAGAACACATCTGTGCATATGGCGGACAGTGATCAGAAACCCCAAATAGCACGGTGTTACAACAGGTCCAGGAAGTCTAATTTAAGTAATACATCCATGAGTATGAAGGGTGGCCTGCATTGTTTTACCAGGATCTCTTGCATGGAGACCCTTATGGTGCTAATTGGGATATACTTATTGAATAAGTAATGAGAAGTCTGTGTTTTTGATTGCCTGAGTTGCCACAGTACCCTGGTATCCCCACAGAATCCTGAATTCTGATTCGGGATTTGCTGTTTAGATGATGCTGTTTGATCATAACTTGTATTTTAGTGGGCATGTAAACACACTCCTCAGCAAATCCTTAAAAGCACCAATCAGGACTGTGGGCAGAGATCTTGACAGTGACTAAAAGACATAACTAAAGCTTTGATCTCCTTAATGACATGAACAGTGTTTGATGTACAAACATTCAAACACAGCACCTTCCTGATTCCAGGCTGCTGAGCTTTCCGTCTCAGCTGGACCGTTGACTACCAACGTGATGATGGTTCGTACAGGCTAGTTTAAAGGAGGACACAGGATCTGGTAGTACTTTCAGCTGTCATACCAGGAGGTGCATCTTTTTTTAGGTAACCAACCCCATTCTCTTTTAAAATGGGTGCTTAGAAGTTGAAAATTGCCAACATCAAGAGCTTCCTTGAATTAGGATGCCCCGCAATGCAAGTGTGTTATATAATGCCATGACTGGAGGGAGAGGAAAAGTAGAGCACAGGGGTAGAGATTAAAAAAGTTTCTGCATAAAAAGAGAGGGGGGAGGAAGAGATGAGCATGAAAGGGAAAGGGGGGCGGAGGGATTGAGGGAGAGACAGAGGAGATAGAAATACAGTGTAATGAAAAAGAGAAGGGGGGATTAGGTCAGGCAGGAGTGAGGGGCCACTCTTCCAGCAGGAGCAGCCTTGAGGCCCCGCAGGCTGCAGGAAGCTGGTCAGTGCTCCTCCTCTCTCAAGGCTTCTCTCCTTTTTCATTTAGATAATGGAGCATTTCCTTAATTGGCAGAGCACAGTTTAGGCCGAGGTTTGTTTGCCAACACGTCAGAGTAGAATTATTTCCACTACATTTACAGCACAGTGTTGCTCAGCTCTCTCATTAAAACCACAGCCTCCTCCTGCCCAGATAGAGCTTTCTGTGGAATTCTGCAGAAAGAGGCCAAACACCACGGCAGCGGGAAAAAAGAATAAAACACATTTATCTCCTATCTCGCCATCCCCAGCCAGCTTGTAAAGGAAGAGACAGAAACTTCTCTATCTGTTTACTGTTATTGTTTTTCTCCAATCATAAACCCTTACTTCTGGCTGCTATTGTGTGCTTTTCCCTCCTTCTCTCTTATCGAAAGAGTTATGCATTGGGCCCGCATGATCTGTATCTTTAAATTTGATTGAGGGTATTTGCAGGGGGTGTTATTGGATTTCGGTGTTATTGTCTCACCTTTTCCCTCCACGTTTTTAATGTTGGGATGGATATCCGCTCCAGCAGCACTGATCTCACTGTTCTGCTCATTAGTCTGGATTCACAGAGCCTAGTGCTTCGCAACAATAAGACATGCACTTCTGTAGTCCGGCCATTACCGAGTTTAACAATGTGCACCAGCCAGAAAAGTCCATTATTTCTGCAGCTCATCATCTCAAGCATCCACACGAGACAAAGGGTCTGTGAAACTGCTTCATTGCAAAAGGCCATCTATCACTTAAGTCAGGAGCAGAGACTAAAAAACATATGTGGTGTAGATACCACATACTGTGTGCTCTGGAAGCATATGGAGAGATGAGAGTTATACGAGTAACACGAGGGCTTCAAACTTTTTTGGGAGGTACCGACTCAAGTGTGTCTATAATGAGTGCGTAAAACTTTCAGGTACCAAAAGGTGACATAATTTGTTTGGTCCAATTCTTGTTTACTTATTTTCTTTATTCGGAATTTACTGATTTAATAAGAATTTTGACAATTTTATGTTGCCAAGCTTCTTGTACAACTACTTCAAAATCAAACCTTGGTGCATTTAAAAGAGCTATCAAAAATTACATATAAGGGGGTGGCTGTGGCTCAGGTGGGTCGTCCATTGATCGCAGTGTTGGCGGTTCGATCCACACCTCCTCCTGTCCACATGTTGCCAAGACCCTGAACCCCAGTTTGCTCCCCTGCCAGAGTGCATTCCCAATTGCTCACCCAAGCCCGGGTAAATGGGACAGGTTGTGTTAGGAAGGGCATCGGGCATAAAAATACCAAATAAAATATATGGATCATCAGATCTACAGATTATTCGCTGTGGAAACCCCGATGGGGGGGAACGCCGAAAGGAAAGACTAAAAGTAATTAAAAAAACGACTTCCATTAAGGAAACATGTTCTCACCCATATCCAAAAACTCCGTATGATTCCCTGCTACAGAAACGGAGGCAGCAATAGTAGAGCTCATAAAGTGAGAACAGGTTCGTGTTAAAAGTAGTAAAGTGGAGCTTGGAGAGGGAGCAGCTGCTACTTTAACAGACCTGTCATTGCAATCAAAGGCGCTAATCAAAATTTTATCAATTAATTGATCTTTCCTCTTGTGCTTTGCCATGAGTGCAATTGAGATTCCCCCTGACTCTTGCCCCTCCAACAGAGAGCCATGCTCTACAACATAAACTGTGTTCATTAGCAATGATCAAGGATTTCTCTAATCTGAGTTGAGATGTGATATGATGGCTGTTTCCCCCTGACTTAGCTGGTTAGTTGGTTTGCAGGACGACTCTCCCCAGTTGCCTTCCAAATCACACTGGTGAACTCGAGCTTGTTTAATGCTGCTTGTACAATTAAACAATGTACCTTATGTATGATCTCCACTGTCGTTAACACTTGTCTTCTGTTGTGTGTTTGTCGCAGGGTAACCAAGAGGCCACCAACCCCCCAGAAGCGATGGCCCAGCCGTACACCCCAGCTCAGTACCCACCTCCCCCACAGAATGGCATCCCCGCAGAGTTTGCGGCACCACACCCACTTCCGACACAGGACTACACCGGGCAGAGCCGGGTTCCCGAGCACGCCATGACCCTCTACACGCCCACACAGACGCACAGTGAGCCGGCCGGCACTGACAACAGCACGCCCGCCATCACCGCCACCACGACCGCACCGGTCAGTGTCCTTCATCATCTGCAAACACTGTTCTCAACTCGCTGTCAGCAAGTAAAATACATTATTTACCTTTTTCTTTCTATTGATCAGAAAAATATACTGTTTAGGACTGAAAGCTTATTTTTTGAAGGTACAATATGTATATGTATGTATTATCAATATGAAATTGTGTTTTTACGTAACACTGTAATTTAATGAGCATGATTGGCTTAATCTTATTATTTCCTGCAACTTGTTTCCCCTCCCTGACTTTTGTTTCACTGAGGAAAGTTAGCTTTTTTTATAATAGTCATTCACTGTTTCCATTGTCTGCCATTGCCTGAACCCTTAAAGCTTCAGCACCAGTCGAAGATTTATAGATTCGCCCCAAATCCAACTCAGTTGCACACAACATTAAAAGTAGTTTAAATATCTTGCCATCAGGTAGACTGAGGGCTATGATTTTATGCATATGGTGTTGTGTACTTTATACTATGACAGTTTTTCTAAAATTATATATTAACTTTCCTTGCTTATCAAAGTATCATCAGGAACACAGCATCAGGAATGTATTGTATGGCCAGCAGCAGCCAATACACAGCCCCACTGAAAGTATATGGCAATCATAGTTCCACAAAATTACAAATGACTATGGTCATAAATGAATAATAATTACACCTATAATTAAACATTGCATAAATCATAATATTATACAATTACACATGATTTTAAACAATGTATGCCAGAATACTACTATGAAATAATTTTTCCAAAATGGTGTTTAAATGTTTAAATTTCTGTCTTCAGAAACTAACATGTTGTAGCTACATTAGTTTTACCCAAAGTGCAGTGGTGCTGTGGTGGAGTACATCCCCACACTAGTTACACGTAACATTTTTGGATTTTGAATGTTTTCTTTATCACAAACGCAAAAAATGACTGTTTTTAATAAAAAAATGGGTGTTGAGTTTAGAAATGAAACAGAGGCTATAACGCTACTTCTCATCAGGAAGTAGCAGAAGACTTGGATGTCATGGCAGTGCGACGTTGGAGGTGAACTTGATTGAAAATGTGCTCATAAAATAAAAGTGCATTTCTGAAGAGCCATTTAGTGCTCCCTAAAAGACATGTAAACCTGAGCTGTTTTATTTATTTATTTTGCGTGAAGGGGATGTGACATGCTGTTCACATGAATGATTCAGGATCTCTGAAAGGAGGACACCCTCCCGCCCGCACGCCAACCCATCCGATCTTTTTGGGTCTTTTAAAAGACGAAAGGACGGATGCACTTCTCTCAACAAGCCAAAACCAACTGCTGTTTAGTCAGATCAGCTAATTATTTGAAGCTGCATCCAAATGCTTGAGACACTGCTTCACACATAAGATATTATCCTCTGCATAACTGTGCCAGGAAATGATTATACTCCTTTTTTTTCACTCACTTTCACCTCACCATAAGAGTGCATATATTTAAATTATTGGCAGTCCAAGTGGAAAACAAACCCCTGGCAATGCTGCACGTTGAGATACATGGCTTGGACGTGAGCGAAATTCAAAATTCTATATTATACATTTCAACCTTGTGTGCTGATACTCTTAAACGAAATGCCTTGACCTGGGATTTACCTCCACAAGAGGCAGATGTAGATAAAAAGGAGGACGACTTAGCTCCAAACTTTAGAGGCGCGTCTAGAAAGACAGATAATGCTGGCAGAGATGAAAAAAAATAAGACCTTCAGACCTTCTTTTCTCCTTTAGCATGAAAACACCTGCTGGGAGAGGTCACGGCGAGGCCACAGCCCTCCTGAGAGAGATCTGGGTCACTCATAAAGAGCATTGTTAATAACTCCATTTTCCCACTCTCACAATTACCGTACGGCTGCGAACATTTGGCGGCAGAAAAGTGCTTGTACAGCACGAGCAGAGCAATAGCAATGCGCAGCGTATTATCATCTCCCTGTAATGTAGCCATGTTTGATTTGAAGATTTGTGCGTGACGCTCTCCAACTGCTCCATGGTTATGCGCTGCACTTACAGTAATGGCTGACACACAAGAGAGTTTAAAGTGAGGAGAGACTTGGCAGGAGGTTCAGCCTCCTCCTCCTTCTTCTTCTTCCCCCTCCGACACTGTGCACCACTCCTCCACTCGCTATCTCTCGCCGTCTCCCCTCTCTCTCCATTTCACATTTGATTTCATTTCATCTGTTCACCCGCTGTGAAGAAAGCCCAGAGATGGTGGCCATGGAGAGATGAGAGCTCGCCTTGCTTTCCTTCATGCTTTTTTTCCCCTCTTGCGCCGTCCCCGCTTTCCTCCATCTTCATTCTCTGCATCCCCGCTCTCCCCACTTCCACCCTTCTTTTCTCAGGCAGGACAGAGGGATGAGATTAGTGGGGTGTAAACAGAGAGTCTAATCCTCGGGGGCCGCTGGTGTAGTGTCGCCCACCGCTGTGTTCCCCAGCTTTAATGACAGACCCAGCCTGTTTGCTCTGGGTGCCACAGACGGGCCCGGGTGCCTTTGATTAGGGCACCCTGCAGAAACACAGATTGAGGGAGCAGATCAGCGACTCACTGCGACTCTCCCCCTCACCCTCCTCCCTTGCCTCGACTCTGCTGCGCTCAGCTTCCCCACGACGACGCTTCACTCTGCACATCTTCTCGACTTAAAGACTTAAAAAGAGTCAAGAGAGAGAGTGAGAATTCAGTGAAACGTATGGATTCTGTGTGAATTCCCTGCAGAGAGCGGAGAGTGTGTATGTTTTAATGAGGCGCGGGGACTCTCTTCGCTTCGCCTCTTCTGTTTCTGTCTCTGTCTACCAGTCACTTGTCTATACTGGGAAGGTGGCGTTGTCCAGAGCCAGACCTCTGGGACCTCGCTCTGTGCCATGTTCAAACAAGCTGACTTGAAAGCAGGCGACTTGAGGAAGAGAGGCAGCCCCCAACTTTTCTCCAAATCCTTAGAGATGAGGGTAGCAGAGGGCTGCCAGGGAGCTCTGCTGGAGAAAAAAAAAACTGAGCTCGTTATCTGGCTCAGTTCAAATAGTCTGAGGTTTGGTTGAATTTCATGAGTAATCATTCTCTTTTCAGATAACAAATTAAGGCAGTGGCGTTAGGGCAGCACTCAATTCCAGATTTTTCACAGCCCGTGTCAGCGGCATGAAGACTTTCCAAAGGGTATTCTGGGGGACTGTGATAACATAGACACACACACACACACGAACACACAAGGGCATGTGGGAAACATGGGCAAACACATGCAAACATTCATACATACACACACACACCCTCTCATCTCTCATGAGCGGTGTAGCTTTCAGAGGCGGTGCTGATGGCAGCATGTAGGCCACCATTAAAAAGGGGATGACTGTGTTATCTCTAAGAGGGAGGAGCTACTTATTTACCCCCCACTGTAAATTCCCATTTTAAAAGATATTGTAGATATCCTCAACATAAAAACTCTCCTGGATAATCTGAAGCATAAGGCTGGCGTGTCTCTTCCTGACTGACTCACAAATATGTACTTTTATTATATATAATGTTTACAGTGTTTCAGTATTAAAACAGCTGATCACTGTACTGTCAAGCTGACATTACTCAAAGGAGGACATTTGTGGGGGACTATTTTCAGCTGCGGATCAATCCACATTTGGTGCGTCAGTGAGTATTTGGGGCAGCAGGGCCGTGTATTTTGGATTGCGTCAAAATAAACTACAGTGTGTGTGTGTGTGTGTGTGTGTTCATGGTAACGAAGGAACACATCAACAGCGTGGCTCATGAAAAACAATGGAACGGCTTTGACAGACAATACTTGTTTGTAGGATAAGTCCTTCGTTTGGTCTTTTGATTGGATTTGGTTCCCAAGCTGGGGGTCCTGGCCCCCAGTAGGACGACTAAAGCTTAACCGGGGTTGTGAGGCCGGCTTGGTTTTAAGGGGTGAATGAAATTGTTACTTACAGTTCAGATTATTATTTAAGATATAAGAAATCCTCACAGAGTTAGGGAGCAGTGACCTGAACACAAGCTATATTCACAGAGCGTTCACTCTCTGCTTAACAGCCTCATCGTGCATTTGAAAAGGGAAAACAAACAAAGAGCTAATAGAACAATGGCCATGCATCAGGGAGAAGAAAAAAGACACCTATTAAGTATGTATGATTGTTAAAAAATGAGAGAGAATCAGTATAATCTTTTTCTAAAAATATCAGGAAAACACAGGAACTTCCTGCTGTTACTGTGTTATATTTGAAAAAAATGTGTTTTTATTTAAAAAAAATAAAAACTGAGTGGTGTTTACACAAAGGAAAGGCTTACCCTTTTGCTGTTACTGTGTTCATTTTTTATAAGTCCTTTGGAATTTAATTATACAGTTTCTCGTAAAATGTGGTTAAGTGCTGTTATTGTATTTGTTCATTTAGAGCTTGTTATATAATATGTTATTTAAAACTGGTTGAAAAAAAAACATCCATGAAATACACCATCACTTTATACATGAGACAGTTTACACAACCTTTGTGTTGGTCAATTGACTGATTTAAAGTTTTATCTCTAAAATGTAGTTAATCTAAATCCATGACTTTGTCCACAAAGAGATATCAACAGACAATCAGTTCTGGGAAAGGTGAAATGCCGTAAGTGGGGGTATGCATGTTCTTTTAGTATGATAATTAGAGAGCACAAAATGCAAGTATTGTTTGAAAAATGGGTTTGGGTTAAAAGAAAAAGAAAATATATGCAGAGCAACATACAACTACTATAGCCAGTAGCAACTAATTATTAGTATGTTTATAAGCTTCTCCCACACCAGGTCAGAACTACAAATGATGCGACAACTACCACCTGTGTTCCATTATTAGTGAAACCCTTATCAGGGAATTCATACTAAAGCCAGTCGCCACCCACTGAACCAAAACAAAGCTTAAGAAGAATAAGCATACATCAGTGGAGGGAATCACAAACTGTGCGCAAATGGTATGACAAAGGGCCTCCACATCCTTTGCTACCTACCTTGCCGCCACCAACCTACATTAGTTGAGGCCTTACTTTGTGCCTACAAGAAGTACATGGAGGTATGGTTTGTTGGACCATTTACAGCCAACTGAGTTCCCCTCAAAGGGGTACATGTTTCCTGACACATCATCGCTGTGGTAATCCTGCTATCTCCATCAGTATTAATACTATTATTTATATTATTATATTATATTTATTTTTAGCATGAGTGGCTCTAAATAATATAAAAGCCAGCCACCATTAGTAGAAAAGCACGTCATTCAGGTGTGGCAAATTTACACCTTAACGTTGCAGTTGGGACCAAAACACTGCGCCACAGTTCATCCCAAAATGAGCCAGAATCAGTGATTTCCATAAACGCACCATGAGAGTTGTAGTTTTTATACATCCACACTCAATGAAAGAACCACATATTTTCCTACACAGTTGCTCATCTTTTGTATTGAGTTTCGTGTCCTTTCAAGCCTTAATTGTGCTTCAGCTCCCAATCACCTCACATTGTCTATGCAGAAAATGAACTTTAAGTGTCGCCTGAACACCCAAAATAACTCCTCTACTTTATATGAATCAGGGGGAGGAGGTGGGGGCGGCCCCTCTACTCCACACTCACTCCCGTCACACCCCCTGCTCTCTCAGGTGATGGAGGAGATATATTTGCAGCTTCTTTAGAAAAAGAAAACAAACAGTGGAGGACTGGGAGGGGAAAATAATGAATTAAAGCTCAGGCATTATAATTCTTGTGAGCGAAGACTCAGTATCCCCCCCCCCACCCCTATTTAATCGGATGTAATCTACCTGCTTGGCAGCATTCCAATCAGATAGTTTCAATTATGCTCTTGTAATGCCACTCTGCGAGGAGGGGGAAAGTGCTGAGCAGAGCACTTTGCAGGCGATTTGCAAATAACAGCAAGGGAGTCTTTTAGAGAAATGACTGAACAGGAAGCCGGAGAGTTGCCGGAGTTGACAGCTCTCTCACTCTCTGGTTTGCTGGCTTTGGCGGTGACGGCGTGTTGTGCAACCCACCTCCTCCTCCTAGCCGTGACAGCAGCTGTCGGGACAGTAAAGTGCCACTGAAGGTGGCCTCCTATGGTAATACGGAGGTAATTATTTTCCACTGCAACACCACCATCTCACAACCAGGCAGGCGGGCTGGAGCCTCGGGAGCGGTGCACAGAGGCAGGCGTCCCGGATCTCAGTGACACTCCAAGTTATTGAGTCAGTAGGATGCAGTCTGGGGTGCTTGGGAGTCAGCAATTCAGTATTTGTGTTCTCCACATGTGTATTTGCCCCCGATGTCAACGTGCTGCCGGCCTGTCTGAGCGCCGAGTGAAAGTTAATCTGGATGTTTGCAAACACACGACTGCGCTTGCCGTGATAAAAAGCCAGACAGACAGAGCTGGGGGACAGAGGTGCTCAGTAGTCTGGCAACATACGCTAAAGGTCGATAGTGTCATGTGTGACCGATGAAACAGATTGACCCGCGGGGCTCTGGTACCTTGTCACCCTCCACGGTCCCAGCATCTGTCTGCAATGTGTCACCCCCGGGGCCCAACATGGCTACTCAGGCTATTAACCTCCAGCACGCGAGGACACGGCAGAGTTAAGACCCCTCCGCCCGTCTTTCTCTGTCACAAATCCACTCCTTACCAGCCGGCCGGCCAGCTCAGTGCGTTTTCCGGCTCCCGTGTCCTTCGCCACTTGTTAACCTCTGGTCCGGATGCCGTCAAGGCCGGGCGGGACTTAGGTAGCTGCCACCAACCTGCCCTACCTGGATGGCTGCAGGGGAGACAAAGTGGGACCTTGAATCAAACAACTGTCACTGTTAACAATGTATGTCATCGTCTCGGAATGGGCCATAAAAACCAAATAAATGACGGCCATTACAGTGGAGATTGTGATTATGATAATGAGAATAATAAAGGCGATCATCATTACGATCATGATGATAATGATAATACTGTGATGATGAATTATAATGAATAAATCCCTACCCCATTTCCTAAATGGTGGGAAATGTATCACTAAGAGTGGCCTGCAGCCATCTGACAGCCTCAGAGCAGGGTGAGGGTTATCAGTGTGTGCACGCGTGTGTGTCATTCGAACCGTTTGTACTCTGGCAACAGCCTACTCCCTTTTCACGTCTGTATCTCAGTACAAGATTGTCTCTGTGTATGTGACTTCCCAGCCAGTGTATAGTGTGTTTGCCATGCTCAGAGAGCACTTCCCAGGAGACCTTGCAGTTTACATATCACATTCAAACAGCTTTTGTGTTCAATATCTGCCACTTCCACTCTCTCGTTTCTCATTCTCCCCTCCGCACTGTCTCTTTATTTAGTCCCTCTAACGTGTCACCCGCACTAAATCAGGTTCATTTTTGTTCATTTTTAATTTTCTGCTTGCTATTGCAGAATGGAGACTGTTTCCACCAGAAAAAAAACAACAGCTGTCTGATCAAATGCAAAAAAACTAACTAGATGATTTCCTGATGAGTGACCTCTTGTGGTCATGCGAGTCATTTCTGTCCTCTCTCAGAGGCAAAGGTGGAAGTAGAACAGCTCTGTTAATTTGCAAACCCTCTTAGGGAGGAAATCCGGCAGATGGGTTTGTGTCTGACTTTGACACAACTACTTTGCAGTTCACTTCCTGTCTCCTATCAACAGTCAGCGTTGCTTTCCTTTAACCATGGCTCTCTCAAAAGTTAAACACACCTATAAACCACACTAATTAACAATTGTTTGTTTTATCTATACATAAAGAGAAATATAAAAATGTCATTTTTTGCTTTGTGATATTTCTTGAGAAATAACCGTTTATTCATCTGCTCAGTGCTTCTGTGCAGCGTCTCCAGCTTTAGAGTGAATTGCCAGATACAGTTGGTAATAGCAGCTTTTATTATGCTGTAGGTCTCAGGCAGGATGGTAGCAAACCTGGCAACCACACTGTGACAGCAAGACTCCAGAAGTCACTGCACCCGGCTGATAAAAATAGTGCCAGCACGCAGCTCAACCTAAAACTGCAAATATTCACTTTTAATCTGTTTGTGTACCAATTAAATAATGAGATATGTGTTAATTAGGGAAAATTAGCTTAATTGTAACTTTTTTAACAGAGCTAGGCTAACTGTTTTCCCCTGCGTCCAGTCTTTATGCTCAGATAGGCTAACTGCCTTCTTAATTATATATGTGAGATTGATATTGATCTTGTGATTCACCTCTCTTAGTTGTCTTAGTCTTTAGTTGCATACATTTAACCAAACCTTCACCGCAGCGACAGCAGGTTAGAAAACGCTTACATGAACAATTTGTTGAACAGTCATAGACACAGACAAATGATCTATTTTTCCAAATATGAGCAAATGATAGACTTGTCCCATAATGGTGCATAAAAGAGAGGATAAACTATGCTGTTGACCAATGAGGTTTTGTCCACAGAAAATACATCAGAAAAAGAAACTGCCTCAAAAACAAGGTCCATCTAAACAGACAAGCCGCCAGCACCCTCAGAGAAATCCATCACCGGTGTCACAGAGAGAAACAAGTGGAATTTGTCATTGACATCAGACACGTCATTTATATAGAAATGTCAGCATAGCATTCGCATAATGATGGAAACAACAACGCTGAGGGCTTTGGGCCTCGCACTCTGATGGCTGTGTGCAAACGTCACCAATAATGTGTCTTTAGTCTAGACATGTCAGGGCTCCGTGGGATCTATATCCACGCCTTTTTGTCAGCACCTTCAATCTTCCCTGTTGCTCAAGAGCTAAGTGCAAGAGATTAATAAGTGGATTTGTAATGCACAACCTCAGGTTTGACACTATAAGTCATCGGCTGTTTATCGCTTTGGCTTTCTCGGCGGATTGAAAAATGGCAGACGCTGAGTAAGTTAGTTAGCCAGGCCTCCCACCCCACCCTGCACCCCGCCACCCTCCTATTTGAAACCCCTTTTCCCATACTTCAGGACCGGGAGGTACAGTATACTGTAGCAGCTAATGAGCAGCTTGTGTCTTTTCTCTGTTTGTTTCCCTCTGGCAGACAGATGATGTGACGCAAACAGAGGGCTCTCAGCAGCTCCAGCTCCAGCACTCAGACTCTTCAGAGAAGCAGCAGCCCAAAAGGTTACATGTCTCCAACATTCCTTTCCGCTTCCGGGACCCTGACCTAAGGCAAATGTTTGGGGTGAGTACCTTGAAGGAAAAGTCCAATTTATTACAACTTGTGTCTTATTTTTGTAGGGTTGGCCTTTATGTATCGGTTATGATAATGCTGTATTTGCCAAGCTAATTCCTGTGATCTGGGAACAACACTACAACAAAGCCTGAAACACAAGCAGTCAGACGAGTTGTATAACAGAAATTATACAACGTTGCAGGGTACCCCGCCTCCCCTGAAACAAAGAACCTCTGCTAATATCAGAAGATACAGAATATTTACTCATTACACTAATATCAAATAGCAGAGGTGGGACCATGTCATTATTTTGCAGTCCACATGTAAGTCCCAAGTCAGGTGTTTTCGAGTCCTAAACAAGTCATAATGCACTCTTCATCAAATGTAACGCCATCTCTCCTGAATCCTTATTGGATGCTGTCAGGTTGGTTTTAACAAAGTGTATCTGGGGAGTCAAGGATTTATTGTTAGTTGTTTTAGGAAATGAGGGGAAATGAATTGATTTGTGACGCATTTTTTAATCAACATACCTTTAAGTCCAAGTGAAGTCACGAGTCTCTGGTGTTCAAGTCGAGTTGCAAGTTTTTGTTGATTGTCTCGAGTCTAAAGTCATCAAATTTGTGTCTGACACGAGTTCAAGTCATATGACTGAAGTCCACACCTCTGTGAAAGAGAATATTAGGCTTATTAAGCTTCAGGGAAGTTTAGGGGAGGGAATGAGCAGCTCACAAAGAGGCCTCACTTTAATGAGTGAGGCGATTGCTCAAACCAGCATCTAGTAACTACATTGTCAGGAAAACAAAAGAGAACCTTGAAAAGTAAAGAAAAACAGCTCAATCAGTCACGAATGGTTGCTAATGGAGAGGAAAAAACTCACTGCTGCGCTGACACCAGGCTGAAGTTAGCTGAGATATGGAAGCCAGCACGGTTGTAATTTTACTGTTCATCTTTGTCTTCTCTCCCAAAGAGGTTTGGCTGTTTGATCTTCTGACTGCTCGAGTTGTTTGCCCTGTCAGACTTACTTTAGCAATGTTGTAGTGTCCCCAGATCTTAGGAATTCACTTGGTGAGAACAATGTTATTATTAACAATAGCCATTATGGCCAAAATGATGAAAATAAACTGAACTGACTTTCATTTCTCTTATATCTTGGTCACTAGCAGTACACATCTTCCCCAGCATTGTTTTGTTCTCAACATTAAAAAGCTGCTTTAAGTAGCTTTTAGACCATTACGGAACATTAAATTGTCAGGAAATCAGGACTGAGGAAATAATGTTTCCTGATTATCTGTCCAGAGGTTACACATACAGAGGGGTCAGCTGCAAACAAATGCAATAAGATTACATATCAGCATACCAGAGGTCCTCAACAGAAATTCTCTCTTTCTCTCTCTGTCTCTTGCCCAATTAATGAGGCAATGATAGTTCAACAGCTCACCCTTGTGTCTCACAAAAGCTTCAATAAGAATTGAACCAAACATCCCCCAATTCAATAACGATAATGGATCTGAATGGAGAAGACTGCCAAAAATGTACTTTAAATGTTATGCGCTAATTGGACCATTAGAACCCAGAGGCGTTAATTCTCATCGTTATGAAGACAACATCCAGCTGATGATATTAATTACTCGAGAGGCCTGGCCGTGGCTTTATAAATTGCAGACAACATGGCTGCTCTCTCTCTCTTTCTCTCTCTGATTGTGGGCTTTATTGTTCCCAGCTCTGGTGCAGGTCGTGTGGAATCCAAATCGCCTCAGTAATTAGCTCGGAGGCTTTGTGTGCCTGGCCGGCGCATTCAGATATACGATACAAAATTGATCGCAGCCCACCCAGTTCCCTTCAGTCAGCCTCCTCACCCACGTGGTGCCCGTTCCTTCCCTGTTACATGCCCTTCTCTTCTTGGTGGTTGGCATCGTAGAGGATTGTAGGATTGATTGTCTTGGGTAGAGCTTGGCAAGGAGATAGCTGGTCTGCTCCACCCTCTGACATGGCCTCCACAATGGGCCTTTGTGTGATCAGCTTGTGCAAAGCTTCATCCCTCTAGCTCTAATGGCTTCTGGTGCGCAACTGGCTCAATACGCCATTACTGTCGTGCATGAGTGAAACCCACTGACATGCAGGCGGAAAGACAGAGGAAAAGGAGAGCGGAGGTGCTGCACGGCCCACTAGAGAAGGCCCCTGCATCAGAGCAAAGTCCCACCAGGAGCTCCATCTGCTCCTACACGGCACGGAGAACCCCTCTCTGGTGACGGCAGCGGAGGTTTCAGCACCAGTAGAAAGCTGGCACCCTAAAACAAGAAGGGAGGGCCCGAGATGCACCCTGCACACCACAGGATTAAGGGTCTAGAGAAACCTGTGAGCCTTTAACGAGGCGCTGAATGAAGGGCTCATTAGGACGACCACAGCGGACCTTAATCAGTAATTAGAAACTGTGATCTCTGAGAGCTAGCGAGTGCGGGGGAAATGAAAACACTCCAAGTGCGAGTGAGCGAGCGAGCTGTGTGCGGCGCCCATGCTGCGCTGCTTGAGGGTGCCCTCGTTTGTGCGACTGGGTTCTTCAGCAGTGCTTCTCTCAGTGCATGTAAGGGCTCTCACAGCACTCCCCAGAGCAATCAGGACCTCTGCCCTCCCCCCATCCTGCTGTCACACTGACTGCTGTGTCTGAACATGCTCTACACTGGCACTCTACTGCTTGAATACACAAGGCTGCTGTAGCGTAATTATAGGTTTCTGAAGAGCTTAAAGATATTCAAGCTAATCAAAGGTGGAGGCACAGTGGCCTCGATCTTGTTTGTTGCTTCCACACTAGAAGGCTTAAGGCGTAGGGACTACACTGTATTGTTATTTCATTTAGGAAGAAGTCCACACTGCGTCAAAGGACCATACCAGTGTGTTTACAAGGTTTTGCTCCTTAACTGAAAGTCATGTATTGTTTATATTTTTGCTGACCTCTTTTGTATGCATGCTATACATTATAGATTGTATATTATTGGTATTTTTAAAGTATTGTTTTCTACCAGTCCAGGCATCCATTGGTTCCACTGCTCATTTCTGTGTAAATATAAAATATGAATCCGATTTATATTTCTCTGTAATGTATTTTAACTGCAGACTGACTCTGCACACTTTTACTCAATAACAATAATGTAATGGAAGTCATATGGAAATAGAATCCAATGCACATGCAGATGTCTTAGATTCAGTAGCATTATTTTTGAAAAGGTCAGCTGTAATATGAATAAAATATATGTGATAAATGGGAGGAAACGGCTGGTATGGTCCTTTAACATGACAATGCTTCTGTTTCTGTTTTTATTTTCGTATCAATATTGAACTGTTTTTACAGTCTATGGATGGATACATGGAGCTAGCTGCAGCCTCTTAGATGACATCAGTCTCCCCTGTCCTCCCTCTGGAGACTCCTCCCATTGAAGCTATTGTTTATTGGTGCTGCTGATGCAGCTGTTTCAGTGTGCGTGTATGTGTGCAAATGTGTGTGAGTGGGTGGGTGGGGATAGAGGCGCATGAGATCACTGGTGAGCAGCGAGCAGTCCCCAGCGCCATGTGGAAATCCACAAAGACGACTTCCTCTGAAACTAATTAATCGACGCCACAAGCCCATTACGCTCGGTTAAAACAATTAGCATCTGCACATTGCGTGGGGAAAGCATTGTCATCTCAGGCGAGAAAGGGGCATCACGCTGGGATATAAATGCCTGTGTGTGTGATCGAGCCAACGCTTCCCATTCGAATCAATGAAGCTGAGCGCCATATGAGGCAGATGTGTGGATAGGATCTATGGAATATCCTTTCAAGAACGGATATATAAGGGAGGAGAGACACCCCGCTGAAACAGAGGAGGTTTTAAATAACCAAGCCTTGTTTTTCCTTTAACTTGATGCGATGAGGTCACCGAATAACCTTTGCCGGAGAGAGGGAACATATGTTTTTCACTAACCCATAAACCCTCACATCCTCAAGCCCACTCCACTCACTTCAGCCAGATAATAGCCAGCTCCTCCTAACCCCTATTAGTGGCTCAGTCAAACGATCCATCCATTCCCATTGAGCGTCGACCACATGGAAGGCCCATTTCTTCCCTGTTGTGCTGAAATGAAGGCGACGCGGACCGCTTGACAGGGTAATTACTTTTAATGAAATAATACGGCCATTGTAGACAGCAATTAAAAGTCGCTCTCACTCCACTCATTAGAGGAACTTACAGTTTACTTTCATTCCTCTGTTTTCTAATGATCCGAAGGCAGGCCTGTTAAATCGAAAGGCTGGAGCATGTTAACCCCTGGGGACTGGCCCTTAGGTCCTGTTGACTGTGAGAGCACACAAACAAAGAGAGGAAGAGAGAATAAAGAAAAGACACAGAGAGGCACATAAAACGATAGAAAGGTACATTCAGAACTGATCCACCAAACTTTCCACAAGTCAGAGCTCAGTTATCTGCGCAGGAGACTCGAAGAAGCGAGTTCTCCCCAGGTGACCAGCTCTCGCAAACTTCAAAATATAATCCGATGCTTCTTTTTTTCCTCTTTGTGTTAAAACAAGCCGGCAAACAAACATCAGAATGCTGATATGTAATCAAAGATCCAGTATTTTTACAGATACTGTGATCTCATTTCATATAGTATTGATAGAAATACAAAGATGCATTAAAGCAGCCGCTATGAGTTCTCTTTTTAAAGCATGCCAGCCAGCTTCAAGAAATGTTTGCCGAGCTAACAAATGCAAATTGACCACCATTTCCTCACAAAAGTAACATTTCCATATTGCCTTAATGGTTTTTCTTTCTCCAGTCGTCCTTCTCATGAATTCACAGTCAGTGAGGCTTTCTAACTCCATCTCTGCCCCGCTCTTCTCTTCTCTTTTTCTTTTCTCTCTGCAGCAATTTGGAAAGATTTTAGATGTGGAGATTATCTTTAATGAGCGAGGATCCAAGGTAAGTGAACTAGAACGCCAGCTGCTTCATTACCATGTACTTCTTCTGTTTCCTAATGATGGCATTAGTGTAGTGTGTACATTGGCTGAGAGTAGTGGTCCCTAAGCCTGGTCCTGGAGAGCTGCATCCACCATGCCTCTCTTTCTCCCTCCCTCCCTATTGTTTTTGTTGTTGCAGCTCTAACCCAAGTTGTGAATCATTAGCCCTGTCAATCAATTCATTATTGAGCTGTTTCACAATTCACTTAATCCACCAGCAGGCTGTAGACCCTCAAACTCATGGAACTGAAACTGCTTGTTTAGGGACCGGGTCCTCTTTGAAGCCTGGGTGTTGGTCCTACATTATTCAGGTTTTATCATTTTGTTTTTAAATATAGATAAGAATAAAGTTCTCTGTGAGGTTTTGGAAAATACCTCACATTTTAAGCTTTGGACAAACAGGAAATCATCCGTTTGCTATATGGAATATTTTACCCACATCTAAGATAATTTAATTTGTGATTTTAAAGGAGCCAGTGAAAGGATAAGCCTGGTGTTCTTCTAACATTTTTCCTACCGTCGATAAATCCTGTGAAAATACCAAAACCAACCATGTATTTGTCCGTATGTCAGCACTTTCTGACTTCCCCACTCAGCTCTCAGCCCATTGCTTCCTACTGGAGATGTAAATCTATTAAAATTGAGTTACTTACACACAGGTTTGTTTTTTGAAAAGGCTCTGTAATTTCCTATAACAGCTGCTAACTGTAGTTTTTGGTCAGTGTTGCTTAAACAGCTACAAACAAAGAACTAAAGTTCTGTTGTTGGGGACTATTTTCAGCTGCGCATGAATCCACATTTGGTGCTCCAGCTAGTATTTCTAGCAGCAGGATAGTGAGTCAAAAATAAATAAAAATAAACTGTGGTGGCTTACTGATTCAATATGTTTTTGGACAATGGAGCGCAATGTCATACAGGAAAAACATACCTGAGTTTTGTTTTTTTTATGGGATTTGTGGACACTAAAGGACCAGTGTGTAACATTTATGAAGCTCTATTTGCAGAAATGTAATATAATATTCATAGGTATGTTTTCATTAGTGCATAATCACCGGAACATAAGAATAATTTAGTTTTCATTATGTTAGACTGAGCTGTTTTTATCTGCAGAGGGAGCGGGTCCTCTTCTACAGAGTCCGCGTTTCTATGATGTGATATTCTCAAAAACAGTTTCAGCATTATTAACATAAACTAGGATGTTACAGGGAATGAGAAATACAGAAAATAAAGAATTATACGTTTTTAAAATACAAAAAAACTACTACTAATACTAGTACTGATACGTTTCATGTGACCAGATCCTTTCCAGTACACAGCCGTAGTTTCTACAGAAGCTTAGAACAGACAAACCAAACACCGGCTCTAGATAGGATGTAGTATGTAGTTTCTCCTACACACTTGGAAGGGGAGCGGTAATCATTTGGTTGCAGTCTTCAGCTTCACTGCTAGATGTCACTAAAACCTACACACTGGTCTTTTAAGAAAAATACAGAACATAGACAACCCTGTCCTTCTTAATTGTAGAGAAAATCCCAAATATCTGAAATATCTTTTAAAATCTTGTTTTAACGATGCTTTCTTGCAAAGATTTGAGCATGTATGGAATAATTTTAAACCACAAATACCTACAAGCCACCAGAAAAATAGGCACAGCGCTGCTGCGGTACTGCAGTATTAGTCTCCTAACCACCTACCATGGACAGGTGAAGCTTGCGGTGGTGTGAACAGCCGAGTGCTACTCATCCAGCTGTTCATTTAATAGAGTGTACTAAGCTCCACAGCTTTCCATTCATAAAGGAGACAGGATCCCTGGCTGGGTGTTGAGGCATGAATACTATTGATTCCCATTCATACCTGGGAGTAGTTTGGGCTCGTATACAGGCATGCAGGGAGCCCTGCAACCAGGCGACGCTGCTGCACTCAGCCCCCTCTGCCAGACAAGATTGAGCACCGGATAAACCTGCCTCCTCCGCCGTAACAAGCATTTATTGTTTGTGCCCTACAAAGCCATTACCCATGATGCCTCTCTCTCTCTCTCTCTCTCCTGCACCCTGTGTGCTACATAATGAACCTACCAGGCCATTAATAAACAATCTATTTCCTATGAAGCTTTGGCAATTTGCATTCAATATGTTTGTCTCCTTTGAAAAATGGTGGCTCCACTCTCCCCTCTTGTAAGCTAATTATTTGTGCATGATAAAAAAAAAAAAAGATAGAGGGGGTAACCACAATCGGGTGAATGTCCAAAGGATTAATTTTGCCCTCAATTCCTTTTTTTGAATTTATTTCTTTATCTCTCTTTCCCCAAGGACAGGTCCCGTGTTATTTATGCTAGGAATAGCAGCCCGGAGATCCTGTGTATGCATACGAGATCACACTGCTCGCCATCTCTCACATGTATTACATCCTCAAGCAATTATCAGGCAGCGTCGGCCATGCTCCCTCTTCTCCTGCCCATACCTCTATAAGTATATATAGAAACCAAAGGAATGGGACTTGTTTGGCCAGCATATCTTAATGCTTCTGCTATAGAGCTCAGGTCCAGTATCCCAGTCCACATAACTCAAGGAAGTGACAAACCCCCCAGGGGAGCGAGGAAGACAGAGAGTTGGGGGGGAGGGGGATGGAAATGAGAGGTTGGGTATATTTTGGTCAGGGTTTAAAGTCAATATCCTCGCTTCTCTATCACAGAGGATGGTATTTGCGGTGACACCATTCACTTTTTCGCATCAATGGGCCGGTGTAATTTTGCCTCCATAAAAATGTCCTACTTATTAGAGCAGTGAATTAGAAACAGTCAGAGATCAAGTTAACATCTCTCTTCGGAGAATTCACACTCCTTCTCCTGTTGCCCACGTCTTCAAAAGGGAGACGGGGCCGTTTGAGCGGCCGCGCTGCTGAAGTTGTGTAGATAATTATACGACTATTATGGCAGCTAACACAGTGTTTTGCATCCACTGCTTCCTGACATTCACCCATGGCACTGGTGCTGTGCTGTTTAATTGGGTAAAGCCGGCAGGTTTGTTGGTGTTGTTGTGTGAGGTCATGTCACCGTTATCCTCTCCTCCTCGGATCTCTCTGTTTGCTGTTTCCTGACGCCTCACTAACTGCCTCTAATTAATCTGGCTGCTTACAACTCGACTCTGCCGCCGCTGCTGCTCACCTACTCCTGTCTTCTCACCTCTCTTTCCCTTCTCTCCTCCCTTCCCCTTTCTTTTTGTGTGTGTGAATGTGTGCGGGTGTGTGTGTGTGTGTGTCCATTTCTTTCCCTCTCCCTTTTCTCTACCGGTGGCTAACGTGGCGCTCTCAGGGCTTTGGGTTTGTAACTTTTGAAACAAGCACAGATGCCGATCGTGCACGGGAGAAACTAAACGGTACAATCGTAGAGGGACGCAAAATAGAGGTGCTTTCCTTTTTTCCCTATCTTTTTCTACTTCCTGCCTGCTGCCTCCTAAACGTACCTATAAACCCATGCATTAGCATGTGGCTGCTATGTGTGTGTGTGGATCTGCATCCCTGAATGTATGTGTGCCTGGATGCATGCATGCATAATGGTGCGTATAACTTGTTCTCAGTAGAATGCGGGATCCATACATGTCAACCTGGACACGCCAGTTGTCCATCATTACCTGACAATGCAGAATGAATGCATGCCATCATCCCCTGGGTTCCTGTCATATTTGAGAAGGCCTGCATTCCCCTGTCACCATCGTTTAGTGTTGCCTGCTCTAATTCTGCTCTTGTTTACGACGAGCCGAGTCCCCACTCAGTCATTCTCATCAGGTCAATAGAAGAAAATCAAAGCGCTGTCTGTGTTTTTCTTTTGGAATCCATTTGTTTACCCTACCAATTACTGAATTTGGAGGACGTTCTTTTTTTTTATTCATACCTGTGGGTAATTGGTGCATGCTTTCCCCCTCTTTCCAGTAATTTAATAATGTGTAAGAGAATTGAAACGATGAATAAATTCATGAAAGGGTGAACCCAAACTCAATCACACCAAAGTGCTACAAACATTTACATAATCATTTATTTATTTATCTATTGTTTTATGAATTTGCCTTCATTGGTCTTGGTTTGCTGCTTGCTTTTGGCCCATCCTAGATATCTGAAAAGTAAATGTGAAGGATGTGAAGGTCAGTGATAACTGGCCCGTGTCTTTTGTTGCTTTGAACAGGTGAATAATGCAACAGCACGAGTGATGACAAACAAAAAAGTGGCCAACCCGTACACGAATGGTAAGTGCCATAAAATATCCTAAAACCTAAAAACATTAGCATTTACATAAAGTTCTCTTTGTCAGTGGAGTTTTCTTTCTGTTCACCAGGCTGGAAGCTGAATCCAGTGGTAGGAGCTGTCTACGGTCCAGAACTGTATGCCGGTAAGAGACCAGCTTCTGCAGAATCATGAGTGTTTTCTCTCTCTGCCTTCCACCACATGTTCTGCTCCGTACCTGAGGCCACTATCAGCCGCAGCCAATCCCAATCTGACCCTGGAATTTCTACAATCGGGCTCATCCTGAACCTACTGAACATGAAATTCCCCTCAAATCAAAGTGAATCTGAGAGCGGCCCAGATAAGCAGTGGATGATCCAAGCCTCTCTGAGTGGCTGAGGGAGCCTGAGCCATTGTTTGCGCGGTGTGCAACTGTAAAGCTGAAAAAAATGATTTCAAGAGCAAGCGCCCCTGCAACTGTTATCAGATTGTGGAGGCTGCTGCTGTGGATGGATTTGCCAAGTGCGCCAGATTGACTTTTACAGAGCTAACCGAATAAGGGAGATTGAGTGAGCGATATTGTTGGCACCTACCCTGTCGAAGGCCGCTATTCCTTCTGGTCTCAGTAATGGAGGAATGAGATGAGCTCAGTGGGGTTTTCCCTATCTCTCTCTGCCTCGACATGCCAGCTTTATTGCTGTATGTTATATGAACCCTTTGCATTTTAATGAGGGGGAAATGGTACTATTTCATTTGGAAGAAGTGCTGAGCACATCGCGCCACTTTAACGGCTTTCCTTTCTGCTCATTAGACTAAAATCTGTTCATTCCCCGGACAGCTTTACGGCGAACCTCTAAATAACTGTCCATGACAGAAAGCAGTCATCTATCATTTTTATTTCATCCCCAACCCCTCACCCTCTCCATGCCTCCTCCCCTGCCTCCCACACACCTCCTCCTCCTCCCCCCAACGCTCCCTTGATTTCGACATCTTCCCCTGATAATTATACACACACACAAACGTACACACACCCCTCTGTCGGTGCATGCACATGCTCAAACATAGACATTACGCCATGGTCAGCTGGAATTTCCTCTAAAATAAAAATCTGGACATTAAGTAAGTCTAACCTTATATTAACAAGCAGGTCACTGACCCATATACACACACACAACACTATCCTCTGCCCTGTTTTTTTTACACTCAGACCAACACATTCCAGCATACAGAAATAGATAACCTATGTAGAACACAGACACTAATACATGTCCCCTCTTTCATGCGCACTTTCTCCATTTTACGCTCACACACACTTACGCACACACACACTTCCCAAATCATCTCATAAATCAGAGGGAGTGTGGTCCACCACTCCAGGCAGGGGAAGCAGGAGGGGTTGGGTGATTTATTGGCTGCTAATTTTTCAAGTCGTCTTGACATGGCACTGGAGTTTGCCAAGCCTAAACGACAACATATGCTTGCCAGCTGGGAAGATGGGAAACATAAATAAGAGATACATTTTTGAAACAAAGCCACACTGATGAGCAGCAAAAGGCCGTTTTAGCTAAAAAAAAAAAAAAAAAACGGGGAAAAAAATCACGGACCTTTGACTATGATGTTCCTTCCCTTTCTAAAAAAAAAAAAAAAAACAAGAATCAGGTTCGTGAGATTCAGGATGTATTCCAAAATCATTATGGCTACAGTTAATATACTTTTGGTGGGAGTAAAATGGGATATAAAGGCGATTAATCACTGTTTATCAGTCCTCATTTCTGTGCGGGAGATCAGTGAAATTGGGAGCCATAAATCCTGGCCCGGTGACAGCACACTTCGTCTCCATTCGTCCTGGCGCTACAGGTTTATTGTCCTCAAAACCCATTCAGGAGAATGACGGATGAGAGCCTCATGCCGGCTCCCCGCTCTTAACCTCTTCCAGGGTAGATTGGCTCCTCCTACTGATGGAGGAGGGGGGGTGGGGGGTAGTTGGTAGGGTACAGGCAGGCGGCGCCAACCCCAAGTCCATGTCCTCTGTTGCCACCTAACACCCAAACCTCCCCCAGAGCCCTGCTGGAGGGAGGAGGGGGTCGGGGTCCAGGAAAGAGGAGCAAGGTGATTGGGTTCCCAGTCAAATGGAGGGATTGGCAATAAAACATGGCAGTGGCACAAATCATGGTGTGTGGCAGCTGGTAGGCATCCAGTGTCTGTGCTCACCTTTGTCCTCTTTTACTGTGCGCTGATCTGGTTTACATGAAAACTTTTGTGGAGCAAACCCCAGAATCTGTCCTCCACTGCCTCATCTATATAGGTCTGTCCATATAACAGCAAACATCTGACTGTCTTTGTCCTGGTCCATTGTATTAGCTTAGAGACACGTCTGCATATTTTAATTCATATTTTAATTATATATCCAGGAAGTGGGTGTGTGGAAAAAGCTAGTGCAAATATGAGCAATTACAGGTCTTATGTGTAGACTTCTGGATCATAAAGTTTTAAATTGCGTTTATATGTTGTTTTTGACATGCATTAGTTAGTTAGTGTGGTTATCTACATATGTAAAGAACATGATAATCTGCACATGTATTGGTGCATGAATAGGATAAAATATGGATCAGTGTAATTATTTCAAATTAATACTTTTCTTATTTTCTCATTTACTATATAAAATAAGATTGTTGCAGAGATTCATATTTTGTAAAAACATGAAATGCAGTTAAATAAATAAGAAAAACATTCAGAGGCAGATCTGTGTGCAGTACATACTGCCCTGTTAACTCATTTTACAATAATTGGCAAACTTTTCTGAATGATTCCTCGTGTTGGATGTTTTCAGCACCATGGACAGCTGCCACTTAGAAATCCCCTCATAAGGCCAGTCCCCTCAGGCTAAGAGAGAGAGAGAGACTCTCCTCAGCAGCTAATTCCTAAGGAGACAGCAGATGAGTAGCTTTTCATTCACCAGTTCATATTTTCTGCCACTAAGGTGGAGTTTTCTTGAGGACTTGTGAAAAGCTACCAGCTGTGTAAATGACAGAAACGAAAGGCTAATTGCCATCTTAATATATGTAGACAGATCCTTTCATTGTTGGAGTGTACGTTAGGGGGATAATTAAGCTCCAGACTCTTGATTAGATTAAGCTGTTTTTGGTCCCCAGTGCGTGGATTAAGTGCTCATTGCCCGATGTATTTGAGCAGGAAGTATTAGAGAGATCAACCTTGTGGAAAATCAGATCTTTCTTTATGGGAGCCGGTTATGACCCCATCATTGGCACAGAGCTGGATTACCGCAGGTCCAACTGGCTCTGCAGGTATTGAGCTTCTCTCAAGTTGACACATATGACATATGAGGTGCAGCGTGACCCCGCCGCCCTCCAGCGCATAACTCATATTTTCTCCAGCCCCCCTCCCGGAAAAGGTGTTTGACTTTGGTGGCTAGACCAGGTTTGTGCTCTCATACACCGTGGCTGTTGTTGCTTTTCACGGGCTTACCAAGGTGTGACAGTGCCTTTGATTTATGGGTTATTATTGAAGCAGTGTAGCCTATCGCCAACTCATTATAAGTTTACATTCACATACATCACTGCATGCATATTGCATACAAATTTCCAAAAAAGAAAGAAAGAGGCAATTGGACTCTCTGGGGCCCAGAAATAGTAGCGATTTGTTAAGAGGAGGGGGAAAAAAACACACCTCTGAAACTATCAAAGAGGATTGTTTTTGCCCTTTAGCAACTGCGCTCAGATGTCCACTGCTCCAAAAAAAGAGACTAATTTAAATGTCAAGGTCAGCATTATAAATCACTTGGGGGAAAGGGGGCACCCTGTGAGTCCGGGCAGTCTATTGGTACGTTGGCAGCAAACAAAGTGCCATGCACCTTTGTGGGTGTGTGGAGGGGGGCTATGTGGGCGTTACCTGGCCAAATGACACGCAGAGTTTGAATATGTGTGCGGACCCACTAATGGAGCGTGATGTTAATGGCAGAAGACATTAAACCTGGCTCTCTGTGTTTTTAAAAGCACCACTAATCTGTCTCCCTGTCAGCTTTATTGAAGCAGCGGGGCTAGGGTGTGCATCGTTCATTAGGGTGCTCACTGGCCTCGTCCACCTGCAGGGTTAACGCTGCACACGGCACAGTAACGCCGAGCCGTCGCTCCCCAGGCAGAAACATATACGCCGCCCATTATATAGAAGCTACCATGGATCTTCATTGCATTCTAGTTTATCTGCGAAAGCGAGGGACTGCCTGCTGTCTCCTTTGTGGCAGCGGGTTCATCTGAAACACATCGGATACATGTTATTAACCCGTGTTATTCACCCCAACTGAGCAGCCAACCCCCGCCCCAAACAAGACCAGACAGGAGCCTCACAGCTCCTCATCACAGAGTGATCTCTGATTGGAGAAACTGAAGTGGTCTGTGATGAATTCACCCAAAACATGTCATGGGAATGAATAAAAAAGAATAAGGTGAGGGGAGGGTGATGAGGGGGCGTTGCTGGGGATGAAGAATAATGGGGATGACTGTGTTGTGATGGACTAGGCATTGGGGGAGGGAGAGAAGGTGAGGAACAGGGGGATGTAAAGGAATTTCGATTGCTGAAATAGAGGAGGCCAACTTAATCATGTCTAGAGATCGGTGTGTTTGTATGCACCTCCACAGCTTGTAATCAGACAGCCACTGGACTGATTGAAGGTTAAATAGAAGGCTGAGGATCACATCGCCTGTCCTCTAATCTATGACCGCAGACATTTTGTCGCACCATCACTCCAACCCTTGCTACCCACCCTGACGCCTTTCACCACAAGTCTGCCTTTCTGATTCACTGGTAGCCGTCAGCAGAGGACACACAGTACGTAGCTGTGTGATTGGCTAAAGATGGTCCCAGATGGGTTTCGAGATGGGGGTCACGCTGAGGTTTGGGCCTTGGCTGTCCAGCCCATCTGCTCCATTTCCCCTTGGGGAAAGTTCTGAACATCTAGTCAGGTTGTTGAACAAGGTTCGCCTCCCATTTGACTCTACCCAACACCTAGAAACGCCCTCTACCTCTCCCCTGTCCACCCTCCCACTGTTCTCCTCGCTGCTAGACCATTGTGTCTAAACTATGCAAAAGCTGTGGTGCGAAACTAGTGGTATTGCATCCATTACCTGCCTATGCTTCAAGGCTGCCCCTCGCCAGGCATCAGGAAAGGATGCGTACAGCAAATGTGGATCCTTGCTGAGTACGGCACAAAGCAGCGAGCTGGGAAAGGGGAGAGTGCTCGATGAGGCGCACCTAGAAAAGATTAAATCTATTGTTTCCTTGTCTTCCCCATAATGCATTCTGTCATAGGGAAAGCAGTGCCACACGTCTCTCTCTAATGTATTCTGTCATAAGGTAAGCAATGCCAAGTCGAGGATGTTCTCTGAAAGTCATTTTCTCTTCTCTTGTGTGTGTCTTTCCATAGTAACAGGGTTTCCCTACCCTGCCACAGGCGCTACAGTGGCCTATAGGGGTGCCCACTTGCGAGGCCGGGGGCGGGCTGTGTATAACACATTCCGCACAGCTCCACCGCCGCCACCAATCCCAGCTTATGGAGCGTGAGTATTGAATCTCTAACTTGAATCTAGAAAACAACAATGAGTGCATCAGACAGTACCAGACCTTTAGTTGTGTTCATGCTGTATGAGTGTGTGTGACTGTATACGAGACTTTTCTGCTCCAATTACCTGTGTGCATGCACATGCTGGATGTACATACTGTATTTGCATTTCTAGTTTTGTTGAAAACAAGTTACTATATACTGTAGGGTTAGACCAAGCGTTGTCAATATTGAAATGAATATTAAACTAAAGTTTGTGAGAATCTTGAAATGGTGTACAATCTGGTGGAAAGCTTCTTCTCTTTAACACGGTCACACGGTACGAACACTTGGATGTCAAGTGTACAAAGGAACTGTCTAGTTAATACGACCAGTACTATCACAGGGAAACCACAGATGCAAATAAGCTGCAGGCATGTAGCCCTTCACATAACAATTCATCCGTCCCATCCATTTGAATTGCTTCCCTCAGGAATCATTTGTCCCAAGTGCCGTTAAATTATTAAATTATTAATTACAAAGTGAATCGTATAGGACCACTCCCTTACCTCACCCTAGCGGAATTTGTACATTTTGATGATTGAACTCCAAGATCTTCCAACTTACTGTTTCTACTATTTTCTTATTTGTAATCCATGTTGATTGCCGTGCAGCCAAAGAAATGTTCCACATCGTGGACAATAAGTTACCTATGCTAATGCTGCTCATCAGGTCTCAGTCCATTTACTTTGTTCTTCTACCTGGGGAGTAGAATCATTGCTGGTATCTAGGTATGTACATGCCCTAACTCTGCCCATCCTTGTATTTGTACGTTGTCTGTTGACAAAGAAGGAACTAACAAAGCCACAGGGAGAGCTGTAGAGAGCTGAGATAGCGTATTACTGGGCAGATCTCACTGGACTGTGACCAGGGCCTATGCTGATCTCCTGGCTTTGTGCAGCCCTGCCTCACACTCGTCTCTTATCAGCAGTGGTCTGTGTGGCCGTGGGAGAGGTCTGACGGAGACCGACCGAGGGCCCAGTATAGCTGTCTATCTGTGATTAGATCAGGATCCGTCTTACTGCAGAGAGACTCTCCGCTGAAGCCCGGACTGGAAATCCCACGTCCCCTTTCCCCTCCCTCCCACTCCAGGGCCCTTTGCTACTGATGGCAGCTGGTTGATTTATATAGCGAAGTCATGTGACGGAGCTCCTTCGCTGCCTTCTTTTGTCCGCCCCTCCTCTCCCCACCACCACCAGCCCTCCTGACAACACTGCAGCAACTGGAAAGACAAACAATTTTACCAGAGCAGAAAATTGGACGGGGATGTGAAACGGTTGCACTTTTCACTTTAATGTGTCATTCATTATTTGTGGTACAGTACACTAAAGCTGCTAAGAGCTGACCCTACAGACCCGCAAATGGTTGAAATAGGAAGAACGTCAAGGGCTGAGATTCAGTGGGGCAGCATGTGCACCAAATCAACTAACGCTCCTTTCCTGTTCTCTAATTTCACAGGGTGGTGTACCAAGATGGCTTCTATGGTGCAGAGATCTATGTAAGTACAGTTGGCTGTTCCTCTTGCCTGCTTAGATGAAACAGAAGTAAAGCAGACAAAAAGCCCAGCCCTGGAGACAAAAACGTGATCTCCTCAGCCCCCGGCGTTCTCCCAGCCTCGCTGCCAAGCCGGCGTCGATTAGGCCTCTGTCTGCTGTGCCAAGAAACCCAACAACAAAATTTAAAACCCCCTCAGCTCCTCCCTCCTCTCTCTCTTCTCTCTTCCTATGATCTCAGACTTTGGCAAAGAGGCAGACCCAGGCTCAGTGTCCCGTGTCAAGTTAGGTCATTTCTTACTTTAGATTTGTCTGGGTTTTTGAGGTGGCTTTTCCCCCCACCCCTCGCTTTCTCTCTACCTCTTTCCTCCTCTCTCCTGTTTTGTGTTTGTGTACACTCAGAGGGTTTGGCTGGGATATCCCTGCCTGCCCCAGGGGGTCTGTGCAGGCCTGAGTGGAGCCGGTTCCTCCCAGCCATCACCATGTGGGAGATAAGAGGAGCGGCAGCAGATAAAAGGATTAGCCGTCCCTCTGGAGCTGTCCGTGCAGGCAGGGTCACATCAGGGGCTGGCCCTGCTGCACGTCGCCCTTGACAGAGAAAAGCATGGACGCTGTGGAGATAATGCTGAAATTACCACGCTGCCCCACTTTGACATTAGTCCAAACGTTTGTGGGAGGATGTAATTTGTCCCTTTGATTCTGCTGCTTTATTTCTCTGCTACCGTCTGCTGAGATAGCGAGATGACAGTGGGCACAGCAGCAGTGACAGTTGCCTCTCACTTTCACCCTGACGACGACCAGTGTCTGGGAACCAAAGTGCTGAACCCCAGTGATATATGGCTTACACGCCAGCCCACATGATAGGACTGTATTTCACTGTTTTTTATTGTAGCCACATCCACCACCATAGACGAGACCTGGGCTGTTTGTCTCTCACACTCGCTCAGCCACCTCCAGCTAAGTCCTGCACCCCAATGTCCCTTGACCAAGACCTGGCCAGGTTGGTCCATCACTCAACCCGTCATGCCAGCCCCTGGTGCTTTACTGCCATTAGTTTTGGCACTGGCCACTGCACTGCTTCAGACTGGCTGAGTGTGCGTGAAGGTCTCGAGTGACCAAGAGGAAGCTGTCCCTTAGCCCTCAGTGTCCTCCGCAATCATTCAGTGGACACTGGCTTGCTGTCAAAAGCAGCCGGTTGATGTGTCGAAGCTTTCTTTTGAAAACAGATGACCCGCTAATACATTAGCAGAAAGGGAAACCGAATGCATATACACCACATACATTGCAAACGCTTATACATATTCATGCATGCACCTTCATGTAGAAACACACATGAAAGTGCACACATACATGAATGCACAAACACACAGTCCGCACGACAAAATAACAAATGTGCTGCACTGTTGTGTGCAGGATTTGACAATGTGGGAGAGTGATTTATTGGTCCGTGTTTGTTCAGGCTGTTGCTGTAATCAGCACGGTCCCAAGGCATGGTCGTCCCACAGGAAGTCATCTGCTTCACGTGCTGCGACTTCCTGTCTCTGTGGAAAACCTTGAGGGGAACTGGGGGAGTGAGATTCAATTGCTGTGGCCCCTGACCTGATTTCATGCGCAGCCGCGGCTGCGACCATCGCACCGTCGCCTCTCTGCGCCGCTCTCCTTTGGACGTCTTTCCCCTTGAGTTTAAAAATGAATGAAAACATGCATTATTAAAAGCCACCTATCCACCGTATGGACGCAGATGGGCACACACTCCACTGGCGCTAATAGAAAAACAGTGGGAGAACAGCTTCATTTTTCAAAGAGAGTAATAGCAGCACTCCACAATGAGGTCTTTAATTCCTTCCCCACTCTGGCAAATGAATACAGCGGTCCTGACTCCCCAACGGTCCAACCGTCTTCTGCCTTCTTACTTCATTTGTGAGCCGGGGGGTCGTGTAAAGGAAAAAGGGGATTTTTAATAATGTATCAGCAGAACCTCCTCAATCTAAAAATGGGCTGAATTTGGGGAGTTGGCTCACGTGGCCTCTGTTATGCTGTTGCTGCTACTCGAATGAGCCTCTAGTGTGACAATGACTCGGTCCCCCCAAAAGATGCTGCCTCTGAGAACATTATTCATCCCCCTGTTGCCACCACTTGCCTAATACACCATATATCAAACAGCACCCTCTGGTGTCTGAAAGGCAACCTGCAGCTGGGTGATGAACACATGATCAAAATACTGTGTAGTGACATTTAACTATTAAGGCAATTTAAAGCTTTAAATCTGTATTGTTGTTTCCTTGTGTCTCTGAGATCTAACCTTTCTCCGTGCAGGATGAGCTTAATCATTGATTAACACTGTGCTATTTTTACAGGGTGGCTATGCAGCATACAGATTTGCCCAGCCCACCACCACCGCTGCTTACAGTGACAGGTGAGAATCCCTCCCATTCAGTTTTCCTCTTTTTAGAAAGAAGGCTGCATTGAGAGACTAAACTGAATGTATTGCATGCTTCAACAGTGCCAGACTGTATAGCTTATTAATTATATAGTATCAGAAATCAATATATGAATCATTATGTAACCACAGAGGCCTTAGAGGCAAAGTCCAACATCAAATACATTTATTAATGTATCTTTAATTTCGGGATCATTTAGTTTTATTTTTTTTGCTTTCTGTTTGTTTCTCTTATTTCCATCAAATCAATGTGATGTCAAGATTTCTGCCAAAATGCAAATTCACAGAACAGAACAGCATGAGCAAGAGTCTCTTTCTTAAGTCACTATTTTGCACGTGTTCCAGACAATATGGAGAAATCCATCGCAGAGATTGCATTTGCTGCAGCAGGCAGGATAAACAGAATGTAATGCCGAGTTTGAGACACGTCTATATTATGTTCGACAAGCTATATTTGTTAATGTGGACTTCGATTTAAAGCAACAAGTTGATCCTGCAGGCTGTCAAATAGAGGAAATTACTGACTGGAGTAGAAATAGATGAGGAAGATTGAAGGAAAACGAGTATGCAGCAAAACACACTTCATCGCAAAATAATCCAGTAAACATCACAGAACGATATCTAACAAAGTAGAGGTAGCAAAGGCTGTTTTTTTGTTTGGAATTATACCCTTTTCTTTAACAAAAAGCAACACGTCTGCTGGCGAATCGCAGATGGATAATGTATGTGATGGATGGAGGGACTGCCTCACCAGCATTTTCTATATTTTCAATATTCTATGTAGGTTATTTGGGGTTTCTCTGGTTTTTTTCTTTCTCTCCAGTTATCTTATCTATTAGGCAAACGGCGTATTCTTTTTAGCTTGGAGCTAAAGAACACAAAAAAAGACTAACCTTGTTGGACTCAATGAGAAAAGCAGTGATATATGTCGTGACTCCCTGCTTGTGATGGGAGTGTGGGTATATCACTGCGGTATTTATGAATGGCCTCAGGTCTGTGGAAGGGAGGTAGGGAGACAGAGAGGGGGAGAGATGGACCGGCAGGAACTCTATCACTTCTGAGTGATGTCACTCCGGTTCAGGTGTGCTCCGTTTGAGGAGGCGTCGCTGATTCATTTCGGCCCCTGAAAGCCGTTGTCAGCCGGGATGTGGGCTGGTTTGGGAATCTAATCTGGTAAGGATTGAGCATGTCACTTGTGATAACGTACACCCTGCCTGAGAGCCTGAAGATCATATCGATAATGTAAGATTTATCAGGCCTCGCCGCAGCTCGAATTATGAGCAGCCGTGCTCGGCGAGAGCAGAAATTGGACAGCAGCTTTTTTTTCTCTCTCAGAGTGATTTAATTCCTGTTTCTCTTGTCTATACTTTTCCCTGAGATTTAATGTAATTCGCCCCCAAGTTGTTTGTTTTGCTTTGTCTGTTTGTTTCCTTTTGAATAAGCGGTCATGCCCATTGGATCAATAGGGGTTTGTCGGTATTGTCTCAGCAATACCTTATCAGACTTAACAGTGGAGCAGTCAGCCAATCATAAAAAGAGGTCACCAGGATTGTGGAAGGCGTGTGAAACCCCTGCAAAATATGAAACATTTATTATCTGAAAAGCCTACAGTGCTCACTGGCTGCATTACCAAAGCCCTTTAAGTAACTAAACAGAGTTCATACCAGTGAGTCTGATGTATGAAAGAGGCCTTGTGAGGAGCCAGTCACATTGAAGAGACCCTGCCGGCTTCCAATCAGCTCTGTCGAGGCTCTGTGACATTGCACAGGGTGGTTTGACCTGCCGGTCGTCAGCAGTGCCACTCTGGTGAGAGTCATTTTGTAGATATATTAGCCTTAGAGGGCCTGTGGGGTTCGGTGCTCACTGAAGATAAGAGGACCACGGAGACTTCCCCTGACCATCTCATGGCACCGGCCTCCTCCCCAAGGAGCCGAGACAGCCTTTCTGATTTCACGTCCTGCTCACTGACCTTGGGTGCTGCTGGACTTAAATGGGCCGAGCCATATTTAGATCTTATATAACTCAATGTAGCTCACGCGAAAGGCATGAACGCTGTATGTCTTGTTGTCTCCTTTAGGAGAATTTCTTCCTCTCTCCATTTTTTTTTATTCCTGGTTGATTTGGTGCCCTCAGTCCTTGGCTGGGTGTGCCTTATCTGCTGCATGCAGACCCTCATTTGCAAGCGAGCATTGAAAAAAAAAAGGAAAGTAAATAGAGGAATATGTGAAGTCGAATAAATAAATAAATAAGGCAGACACATCTTGTCCTGTCTCAGAAGGAAATTGGAAGGATTAGTTCCAAACCAGCAACAATGAAAAGACAGGGGCGTGAGCCCAGTGTGCAGCCTGGGTAAACAAGAACAGGGTGAGAGACCAAGCCCTCCAGCACCGACTGTGTTCCCTCCGCATCCTTCTTTCTCTCCGTCTCCCTCGCTATGTGCTCATTACCTATTCCATCCACCTAATCAAGATGACAATGAAAAGACAAGTATAATTCACCAACCTTTGAACTCCCCTTTTTGAACCACCTTGTATAATGTAGGAAGCCCAGGAGGCCGAGGAGGGAAATAATTGATTGTGTTAGAGACTTGAAAGAGTTGACTTGAGGGGTTGAGCATTAAACAAGCATGCATAAATGTTCTGCTCTCCTCGTCAATGATAGATCAATGACCGTGTTCTTTGTGCCTCCCGTTGTGCAGCTATGGCAGAGTCTATGCAACAGCAGACCCCTACCACCACACGATTGGCCCTGCCGCCACATACAGTGTGGGGACTATGGTAAGTCTGTGAGAGCGCCGCCTGTTTCTGTCTGCACCCTGTGTGAAACATCACGACACCAGCTAGCACACACACGACTCACACTCCAAAATAAAGGCCAGAGGCTGCAGCGGTCACTGGTTTTTATTTATGTATTTATTCATCAATTGATTTAGTTTTTGTCATGCTATCTGGCACACCCTAGTGTCGCTGAGCAGTACTGTAAAAGCCCGGCATGTGGAAATTGGCTCAGACATTTAGTGCAACAGACGTATGTTATGCCACGCAATCTCACCTCATGCAATATTCATCTGACACGAGTTCCTCCTGAAACTAGAATGAGTGATTACTGCGTTTTGTTTTTTTTTAAACGTAAACTTTGCATTTTACATAAAAACTAAATATCCAAGCTTTCTGTTCATTCTACATCACTCAGCTCGCTACAGAGTGAGTTGGATCATCTTTATTTTTTTCCATTCAGCCAAACCAAACTTGAAGGGATGAAGTTGAATTGTTAATGTCTGTTTTTAGCTAGCTTTTGCAGCTACTGTAACATCAAAGATGAAAAGTGATGATAAATAAAAGAGCGTCTTTCTTTGAAACGGAGAGAGTTTCTCTTTGGTTTGTGTTTTATGATGATGAGGGGACGGGACCTGGCTCACAGACCAAACCTAGAGATTAAGGACCATCAAACGCATGCAGCAGTGTGCCGTGGGACATAAAAGAGAGAGCGAGACGGAGGGAGGGAGTTGTCTCGCCCTCCCCTCCTGCCCACAAGCTTGATCGGAGGCGTGCTCTCTGCTTGAAAAATGACTCAAATTTGCCATTCCGGCATGCATGCGATTTTTCAACAGCATTAAAAAAAAGCGTACAGTTCCCCGGTGCAGCTGCTAGCTAAAAGCTTTCATTAATTAAGACATTTCTTTTTCCTCTTCATTTATTTAATTAAAAATGTGCTTGAATGTTTTTTATTCTTTCTTCTTTTTCCTCCAAATTTCCTTCCATTTCTCTGGCACTTTGTTCGTCCTCTCGATGAAAGCAGAAGACAGGATTTGGCCCCTAAAAATATCAGAGCTAATGTGGTGTGTGTTCGGAGCTCAGGGAGCTAACACAGACTCCAGAGGGTGTGTGTGTGTGTGTGTGTGTGTGTGTGTGTGTGTGTGTTCATGTGGTGTTGAACAAATGACGAGGCTACTGGGAGATGGTCTGTGCTGAGGCCAGCGTCAAATAAACTCGTGAGCGAGGGAAGAAGAGAAAAGACCAGTTTGGTTCCTAATTCTTTAATCATATTTGATTAATGATTCTCCAGCAGAGAGGAGTCATTTTTGCATTTAAAAGCTATACAATAATTAGTTCCTCTGAGGTTGGAAATTCTCTCTTTACTCATTTCCAGCATACAGAAGCATCTCATACTGTATGGATAAAAGTTTTGTAGAAGCAAGAGGACTCCCCGAAATTAGGCAGAATTAGCCTTTGAAGACATTCAGTAGCCTTTGGAGTTCGTCTGAATTCCTAATTGCAGCAGAGCCACCGAAAGATGAGAGGAGGGACTGTGTGTGTGTGTCTGTATGTATGTGTGTGTGTGTGTGTGCATGTGCAGGTGTGCATGCATAGGCCCACATGCATGCTTTATGTGTGTGTCTGCCCTAGATATCTTGAGCATGGTGCTAAATCTCAGGGCTAATATCCTGTGGTGGTTTGCCCCTCCAGAAAGGGGCAGACACCTCCGCTAGACTTGAAAAGGAGCTGATTAAACCCCTCTGAACTTATTCTGCTTATATTGTTACAGCCTGAAAAGGAATGGTTTTCCTCAAGTAAAAAAAAGCACAAAGCACACAAAATTTTAATTAACTGCTTAATGTAATAAATTCAAGGAAATACATCAGACCAGCCCCAGTGTTTCTATGATTTTTTTTTCTCCAAGAAAGTGCTCTTTCTTTTTGCTGTGATACTCTATAAAAAAATTAACTGCACCAATTAAGCTCAAAGTCCACCAGTCCACCTTAACTCCCGATAACCCTGTTCCTAACACACACTCCAATTATTGGCTTAAATATATCAAACTATCAATCCGCCTCATGATCATTCCCATATGGAAACCAAATCTATAAAAAATAACCCGCATGAAAAGAGGAAGGAAATTTGTGGAGAAAGAGAAACGGACTAAAGCTGTCACCTGAATACTGATTGGTACTTTTTCATCTTTGATGTTGCAGGCTAGCCTATACAGAGGAGGGTACAGTCGCTTCACTCCCTACTAAAAGAAAGAAAAAAAGCGAGAAAAGACAGAGACATTACCCCAACAAACAAACAAAAAAACGATCTAAAAAAAAAAAAAAAAACCTCAAAACAAGTGAACACCCGGTCCTTGGTGGAGAGCTAAATCAAACTAAAAGCTTCCAGGTCCCCATGCTGAGCCCCTCCCCTGACACCCTCTCAAGCCGATATTTCTACAACAACCTATTTGATGTCATCATTGGTCTGCTCTTGTTTTGTATTCATTTTGTGCTTTTGGTTTTCTTTTGGAAAGTTTTATGCACATGTGCATTACCTTGACTGCTGTATATGGGTGCTGTGTCACCATAACCAATGTGAGCCTACTGCAGCACGCATGATGCATGCTCAGAGGTGTGTGTATGCAGCCGCTGTCATCTGACTAAGAATATACTGGGGCATTTTTATGATAGATATATATATATATATATATATATGACAAACGTACCAGGTCTGATCAGGCTGACACTGATCCATCCCAGTTTATTACTTTTCTAACCTTTATCTTCCAATTAACACGCAGTAATAAAGCTCAGTCCACACGCTGACTAACATGCCTTGGTAATTCTTAGTTCAAAGACGGCACTGCTCTGATTGCTTTTGTTTTCCTTTAAACGTTGGAGTCCTACTGTTGTGCACTTGCAGTGGAGCCTTACAAGCTGTACTATGTGGTATGACAGCATGCAGAGTAAAGGGTCATGAAGGTCAGATTTCTGTCTCGGACTCACAATGCTCATACTACCGCCCAGTCTCCTGCAAATTACCGAGCGTTTATATGCCACTATTCTGCATTGGTCGTTATGTTTTAGGGGGAAATGTAACTTCGGCTGGGTTGCGTTCAGGGACAAAGTCATGTAGCGTTTCATACAAGTACAGATGAATTTGGAGGGGTGGGAATTTGCCTTTCCCACCAGTAGCCAGAGTTAGCATCTTGTCTCATGCTAGTAGTTGGTAGTGATATTTTTAATACTTCACGGGACCAATGAACATCTGCTCTTTACTCTAAAGGGTTACTCGTCTTTCATTAGACCCCGCTCGATCAACGGCCTTTCAAACTCCCCGAGTTCCTAACACAGGCTAGTAGACCGACTGAAGACATTATCATTGTTCTTTTTTCAGACTTTATAAAGCTAAAATATATTATAGAATTCATTTATTTTAAAACAGTTGTCACTTAATGTTTTGCAGTTTGTTGTGAGGACTATAGTTCTTGACCTAACTTAAAAAGCTTTTGTGTTAGTGGTCGTGTGTTGACTCAGTTCTGTGGTACATTCTGTAGCTATATTGTGACGTTGTTGCATTGGAATGCATTATATTGGAAGACGTTTAAAATATTTAGTTCAAAGATATAGAATAAGAATAGAAAGAGAATTGAGCCTTTTCAAAGTATCTTTTTGTCCTGTGTTCTAATAAGAGTTGAGCAAGCCGCGGTCAGAACATCGGCCTCCTTTCCTCTTCTTAGATATGCTATGTGCTAGCCTCGTCTTTGTTGAGAAGACAACCACATTTTGAAGATGGTTAAAAGATAAAAGCGACATATAGTCACATCTTAATGTCATCAAAATGCTAGCTAACTAGTAAGAATCTCTACGTCAATTGTTAGTTAGTAGATAGTTAGTTAGCTCATTTACATCAATTGTTGGTTAGTTTTCTCAAACTTTGCTAACATTAGCCAACTTAAAATGTGGTTGTCTATTCAACATAGGCTAGCACATAGCATATGTAAGTAACGAGAGGAGGAAGTCTCGCTCAACTGTTATTGGAGCACAGAGCAAAAAGGGGCGGGACTTTGGACAGGTCAGTTGGTAAACAGACCAATACAATAAGAACAATATAACGCTGTTCTGTGGAATATCACGGCAAATTACAAACTCAGTAGAGACTGTGGTTTGTGAATAGGATTCATTACAAGACTGTACTGTCGATCGTAACAATTGCCCAAACGTTACCGCTTTCAACTTTTACATGAATTCTAAATTGAATCTCTTAGGTTTTGATTTGTTGGCTGAACAAATAAACAATTTGAAGACGTGGCCTGATGAGCTCAGTCATGAACTCTTGACGGCCATTCTGAACAATTTTTTTCCCCCTGAACTAAAAGGGTAATCAGTTCATCGAAGCTCTGCCTCCAGAGTGCAGGGGCAAATAGTCGCATATGAACTTAATTTGCAGAAGACACGGTTGCATATCCTCACTAATACACCATGGTGAATAAACTGTACTCAAGGTGCACTGTAACACCAAACACTTTCCACACACAGTAATGACACAGCACCGAGGTGGGTGAACCCGACAGGGGGCTGTTCTGCTACGACTCACCGGTCTCTTTTTTAAACATTGCACAAAATGTTTTACCTCAGGATGAGCTAACTGAAACTCACAAACTAGAATACAGTGCTATTCACTCCTCAGCAGGCAGGATAGTTTCATTTCTAACACAACCAGCAGGTTTGTCCTCTTTGCAACACGGCTTTCTAGAAGAGCTGATTTTTGAGTTTCGTTTAAGCAGAGACCCCAAGAGAGGATGATAAAATAAGACTGTACTGTTGTTCTTTATTAAAGCTACTGTATTATATATGTAGACATATACTGTATAAAACATTTCAACTGTATACACACACAAGTACAGTAAGATATTATATAAAAGCACCCAGGAGTTAGGAGACACAATGTAAATGTGTGTAGAGTGCAGCAGTGCTCGCCTCTTAGTCGACATACAGTGGTTGCATTGGCTTCTATTACAACTTTGTGCTACGTGAGGTGAATTGAAAAGAAAATCTCTGTGTAGCTGCCGCTAGCTGTCAAGATTTCAGTGCAGCTATGGAAATACAACTCAAAGCTATTGCCAATAATATTTAATTTATATGTACTCACAAAAGTGTTTGTGGTCTCAAAAGAAAAAAAAATCTGTTTGTTGCACTTTATTTGTTTTTTTTTTTTGGTTTTTCAATACTTTCCGAGATGTAACATATTTATAAAAGTATCATATACAGCTAGTTATGTTTAGTCAAGATGTTAAAATGATATAGAGTAATGTTGTATATCAAAAAAGAAAATGAACCCATTATCTCATGAGTCAAAGAAAATCTTTATGTGGGTAAACAAACGTTGTTCTTCCTTTTATATGCTAGTACGTATGCACCATTTGGGGTTTTTATATGAGTCGAAAAGAACTTTGAATATTATTTTTACCATTTTCAAACAGGAGAAGTGGTTTGTGCATTTGTAGGAGTTTCTCGTAGAGACTCTGCAGCAGAGTACATGTGTGGGTGTTTGGTTAGTGACCACTATCAGTAAGCCAGGCTGGAATGAGATAGATTTTTTTGTTTTCTGATCTGAATGTGTGTTCCTATGTGCTATAGTATATGCATTAGAATGTGTGTGTGTGTGTGTGTGTGTGTGTGTGTGTGTGTGTGTGTGTGTGTGTGTGCGTGTGTGTGTGTGAGGAGACAGAGAGAGGAAGTGAATGCAGTTTGCTAACCTACTGTAGTTCGCAGTAAGCTAACAGTTTTAAATGGCTTTACTCTTACGTCCCTGTAATAACATCACAATAACTTAACTCTGACCTCAGATGTATCAGTGGCAAGAAACAATGTTCATAAAGTTCAGCAGTTTTTCCTCGTACCAAGTAATGAAGGACTCTGATGGATTTTTGGGAATTTGACGCATTAATGAGCAGCAGGTTGTAAAGGATGCAAAAATAATTAAAAAGGTGTTCCTACTTTTTGGCCATCTTATGCACATATATAAAGTATGTGGAACAGAAATGATAAAACACAACATAATGGAGTCCAATACAATATCACCACAAACTAAAATTAACATTAACATTAAAGTAAAATGTATCACAAAACTGATTTATAGAATGAATTACCTAATTCCAGTGTACAGTATAGATAATGAATCATTTACGTCACCAAGGATTAATCATACTAATTTGTAGAGCTGCAACAATTAGTTGATAAATGGAGTGGCTGTCAACTATTAAATTATTTCCATAGTTTGAGAATTGAACAGTTTTAGTGATTTTTTTTTTAAAGAAAAAATATCCAAAGTCTCAAGTTCAACTTCTCAAATGTTAATATTTACTAGTTATGTTTACTACTAATGTGTGTTCTTCAATTCATAACTTGTGCTCACAAATTAACAGCATTTAATGTTAAATCCAAATAAACCGTATTTGTTATGATCAATCAGTTCATAGACAGAATCTGAAGTATATCCACGTATCAGCAATCCAAATCTAAATCATTCAGATATTAATTCAAAACATCAAGTACAAAATATACAAAAAAAATATCCCACCACGAGGGTTCACCCAGACTCCCACCTTTCACTTTTACCGTCATCACTATGAGTATTATTTCTACTGTCATGTTATTACAGAGACGGGTGTGAGTATTGTCATCAGTCTGCACGGGTTTGTCTACAGTTTACAGAAAAAGTTAAAATTAGCATTGTTTAACTGTTTCAGTGTCAGCTTATCAAGGCTTAAATGTTAAAGACATAACATGTAAATAACTCTGGTAGTCGGTATTGTAGAGGTCTGAGCCGTTTAATTATGCTTACAGCAAGTCAGACGTAATTTAAATGTGAATTTATAAAAACAGACACTTTGATATTTTTTGGTCTACTTTGCGTTTGTTGTATTCCATAACCAGCTTAATATGCAACCAGACCTCTATTTGATCCAAACATGACTTATTAAATAGTAGTACTGAGATATGTTTACATAAAAACACTCTTTATCCATCATTTATATTTAATACAAGTATTCACTAAGCCCTGATAAGCTGGCAGGTGCATTTATTAATCCACCTAAAAGATTTGTACAAAAGAGAACCAAGCAAAAAACAGTATCTGTAAATACATTTAAATGTATATACACACACACTATATCGCAATTCTAACTGTTTTATATGTATTCCTATATGAAGTGGGGTTATCTGTGTATTTTCAATTCAGCTGAACTTGTTCTTGAATTGTATGTAATTTCTATAATGAGAATATATTGTCTGACAGGTGTAAAGTAATTTTCTTTTGGATTAATTTCCTAGGTAAAAGTATACTATTATGACTTTTTTCTTTATTCATGAATTATTTTTGTTGTCAATATGTGACATATAAGTAATCTCTGATTGTTTTGAGTGTCAGAATAAAGCAGTTATAATAACATTATGTCTGCCTTCACACATGGATGTTGTTGCTGCTGTTGTCCAAAAAAAGGGTTTTCCATCATAATTTACATAATTTTCATTTTTTTGTGTGTGTGCCCCTTTTTGAAACAAAAACCTTTACTCTCTTACTCCTAGTGGTGTCTGGCCATGCAGATAGTTGGAACCAGGGACTATTTCTATGGTGGCCAAAAGAGCTCAACACAATGCGACTTTAAAAAAACATTAACAAATTAACATTAACAACTCGTACCTTAAATTTAGGAAAAAAAAATATTCACCAATTTGACAACACAATGACTACATTCAGTGATAAGCTTTTCAACATACTAACAAATTAATCCGTTTTACTCTCACAGTCTTGTAACTCGTTTTTGCACTTTTGCCTCGTCTGAGTCGTCATATTGTTTCTTTATGTGCTTGTATTGTATTTATTTGCAGCGTTTAAATCTAAATCGCAGACTGCATCTGCAGTTTTTTTTCAGCACTTCGAACCGGTCTTGTGTTGTGCTCACTGACAGAATCAAACAATCAGAGCTTTGTTTGCGGGATTAAGAACAGGGACAACATATTACCTAATAGCTATCAAGTTAGCTAGCTACATCCATGAAAAAAAAATGACAAAAAATGGAGATAAATGGGGATCAGATCAACTGAGCCTGTTGTCGTAAGTCAGTTTAAAGTCATGTTGACTGAAAATGGTATTGACAGGATTGGATACATCATTGCAAATAATTTTGTTAGAAACTGGCTAACATGAACAATAATTAATTGAAAACAAAATGGCTTATTGTTAAGCTAAAAATGCAGTGTGTTAAACTCACTCTTCCATCATATTCTGACAAATGTGAATGCTCTGAGCGCCGTGGACTGGAGTCCAATCACCGCCATTTATTTGGGGTGGCAACAGAAATCTTAGAAACACCAATCTCAGCAAAAGTAAACCTACAACTATCCGTATGGCTCGACGTTACCAGGTCTAAGTGGAAAAATCTTTTTGTAATCTGGGCAAAATAACACTTTAATGGGGCCGAGTTTAATTGCTGAAGATAGACTTTTAACAAACTATGACTGAAAGAAGTAGAGACTCTAATAGCTGAACTAACGCTCCCCTGAATCCTTCACGTCCGTGGGTGATTAATATATTTGTCTCTGCAGCCCTTTCAGTTCTAGGCTGCCTGTCAGTGAGGACTATATGTAGCTCCAGCGCTATTGTGCTCCCTCCCTGCTGAGCTATAAGACTGCATGTGGATATTTTTGTATGGTGGGTCCCTAGCGAGCGCTCAGTAAATCTGAGGTATAGGATAGATAGGGGGAGGCGGTGAGGCTCAGGCCAGCTCCTCCATGTGAGGAGCTAGATACAAAGGGAGGCAGGGTGGATGCTGATTGAGCACGCCACTTGTTTGACTGTTTGTCTCTCTGGACTGAAAGTTGGGGCGGCAGTTGGGGGAGGGAGGGCAACGCACTACAAAGGCGTTTTCAAATTAAAGCCTCGTCTTCTTTCATTTCTTTATTTATTTATTTTTTGTCAGAGGCTCCACGGAGCTGCTGAAGATCACTTCAAATTAGAGAGCATCTGTCATGACGAGGGTCCTGGGACACTCGCCTTGCCTTGCCTGCCCCCAACACCCACACACCACCACCCTCCCTTCTCTGCTTCCATCCAGCCCCATTACACTAAGACTGTTCACTTTGCACTGCCAAACTGCCGATCTCCACTTGTATGATTACAGCGCACTCTGATCTTTATTCTGGGGAGAGCGGTAGCACTAGTTTTGGCAGGCGTAAGGCCTCTGCTCCCGCTTCTTTTATGCCACATTACAAGAACGGGATGAAAAGTGAATGAAGCTGTTGTCTCTCTGCTCTCAAACTTTTTGCAGTTTGACTCTGTCGCTGCGTTTTAACCTTACACTGTGAACTTTTCCTCCCTGTAACAGTGTACGTTACATAGATGGGGTGGGAGGACTTAAAAGTGTGTGTTGTTTATTCCATACATTATCCCATATGTTTACTCCTATGTTCTTTTTTAAGAATTATTTTCTAGCCTACACTTTCTGTGACAAGATCTTCCTAAAAACTTGTTCTGAAACTTGCACTGAGCTGCCCCACATTGACTTTTCATAGCACCCCTCATTATGTATGCCTGTCAGAAACATAACCTTCTGCATATTTACCAGTCTCCCCACTTTTCTCCCCTGTTTTCAGTAAATACAAAAGGAAGAGCTGTACTCAGTATTGATGGACATCACAGATGAAAACAACGAAGAGAGGAGAACTAGCTTTAAGAAAATAACACAAGAAGAAGAAGACGACGAGAAGGAGTCCCTCTACTGAGGCTGGCGAGGGAAGACGGGAGGCGTACAAAGTGGCGCCGCGGCAGCGGTGTCAAACCAGCCACAAACTAGACAGACGGAGTGAGCCAGTTTCCACCAGGGACCACCTTTTTGCCGGGTAGAAAAAGACAGAGAGAGAATGAAAAGCGTCCCGTTATTATAAAACATTTTATTTTTCTATACTTTTGTGATTTACAATGGTAAAAAAGTGTGTATAAAGCAGTATATATGTACAAATCTGTTTTTATGTTTTTTGGTAAGGGAGATGAACAGTTGGCCCTTGATGCTGATTCTGTGGTATGCAGGAAGGAGGAGGGAGGAGCCCCCCCTCCTCTCTCTATGGCACACTGCTCTGTCGCCGAGGTCGTGTAAACAAAAAACATAAACAGAAAGGTGGCAGGGAGCGCTCGGCATCCAGGCAGAAGCACTTTCTACGCTGTACTTCCTGTGGGTGGAGTCAAAGGTCAGCCTCCTGGTCTCACTGCTCCGCCTTCTTCCTTCCAACCCCCCCAACCTCCTTCCTTACTTCCTTCCTTCCTTTTCGGGCCGGTGATGTCGCTCCTTCCTCCTTGTTGCGGTGTCACTGACCGGCAGCGCCTACTGTTAGCAGCGTCCCCCGTGGATACTGTCGTGATGTCACTTTCTCCTGGCAGCACCATTGGGCATCCCCGCCCTCCCCAATGGGAAGCGTCACTGGTTTACAGCGTTGGGGAGTGGGGGGGTGAGCCACGGCGGGACGGTGAGACGGTATAAAGCCGAGCCTCCCCGGTCTGCCCCTCTCCACGCCCCAGCAGAGGTCAATGACTGAGGACTAGTTAGAGAAAATGGCGCAGAAGTCGCCGACTTTACTCACCTGCCAGACTCCGAGCCCAAGCCTTTGTGTCACTCTGCACCGACGGACAAACTATCAGACCAACGCGGTAATAAAGGTGCGTACAACTACCAAGGATGCACGTTTCCACCTGACGAGAATAACTCATCAACGTCCATGTAACAAATTGAATTATAATCGAATAATCCCATTGTACTACATCAGCAGGTGCATAACCAAAACACAAGCCTGAGGCATATAGACTATGTCGCTAGATAAAACATTATAGAAATACAGTAGTGCCCATCCAACGGTAACAAGGAACGAGGGCTAAAATATGTCAATTTTTTTTGTCAATGTATTCTGAGAATATTTATTTGTGTGTTTTTTATTTTGTTTTTTTTTTGCAGCACTGAAAACTTTTAAAGAGGAAAAAAAAAGTTTTAATTTTGGTGGAAGCGAATTCTTTATATCAGGAGAGTCACTGTAAACGTGTTTAAACAAGAATGTTGGTTCAGTTCTTTGAATGTACATTAATGTCTAGGGTGTCCAATAAGTATGTATTCTTTTTCTGTATATAAATATATATACATATCTATTATATGGGCTGTGGTGATGTCAGGGAGTAGAGGGGGTGGGCAGGAACGCCTCTGGCCCCCGAACATAGATATCAGACCCCCCCCCCCCCCTCCAACTAAATATGTCCCTGATATTTACTGTAACATGTGATCATGTGTTATATGATTGAAAGTGTGATGGTGATAGTGTGAACTGATCTCCCCTGAACCCCCCCCCTCCCCTTTACCTCACACACACACACACACACACACACACACACACACACACACACACACACAATGTGCAGATACTCATAGATTGCCAACACGTGCAGTATTACACACAATGCTACATTTTTGCCCCCATCAAATGCAAAACATCACATCCTACTTTTAGCCGGCAGACACTTCAGGAAAAGAATCACATCTGCAGTAATTTTGGCCCTTCACTGGAGCTGGGAAGACTTGCTAATTAGCGCAAGGTGTTGTGGGTGTCAGATAAAAAGTTTATGAATATTGATTTTTCTTTTCTTACTTGAACCAAAGTATGATTTGAACACACAAGTCTCAGTGCTCTTTGATCAGGAGACAGCGAGACTCTGTGATGACGGCGGAGCCCGGATGTGTATTGACGTGACCCAGATTTCATTCGCTCATCACAGCTGAGGAAGAGTTGCTGCTCTGCTGATATAACGAGTCGCGCCGATGAAGCCCGGCTCGCGGCTTCCTGCAGCAGCCTCGGTTTACGAACTACTGTTCTCATGCTGACCCTGGTGGGCGGGCGGTTTTATTGCGTATTGGAAATGACCTGCTGGCCCTGAAGAGAAACTAATTGATCAGAGGCGAGCAGGTTTGGGTGAAGCACAACTTTGTTTGAGAGTTCAGGGTACACTACTTAGTTAGTAGTGGTTTTGTGTGAATTGTTCCAAGAAGGTAACACTCGGTTAAGCTCCTGACTTCCTGTACAAAACTACAGTGTGTACTGTTAATATCCTGTACAGTAAATCTCACCTCACACTTCTTGATTAACTTCATCTTATTTCAGGTTAAAAAAAAAAAAAACTTGTTCTGAATCAGGGCTCCTACCCACGCGACCTCTGTTCATCTGTAGACAGCTTCTCATATATTACAAAGAGTATCTATATCATGGCAACTAACTGTTGTGAAGTCTAATTGGGGTAAAGTCGGTCATTTGTTCTCCCATGCAGCGATCATATGCAGGCTTAGCATTTTTATACCTGTAGGTTTCTTTCTGATTCATCTGGCCTACTTACAGCGTTACAGACTTGTGGTGGGTCAGAAG